CATTTTGCACCCCACTATTTGGAACCGTAAACATGAACTTGTGACTCTTGTTATAGTTATTTATGCACAATGAAATCAAATGGCATAATGGTGGTGCAGCGGGTTAAACCACTAAGCTGCAGAACTTGCTGACCGGAAGGTCAGTTGTTCGAATCCGTGGGACAGGGTGAGCTCCCGTTGTTAGTCCCAGCTTCTGCCAACCTAGTAGTTCGAAAATATAGAAAGTGAGTAGATTAATAGGTACCACTTAGGTGGGAAGGTAACAGTGCTCCATGCAGTCATGCCATATGACCTAGGAGGCGTCTATGGACAACGCCAGCTCTTTGGCTTAGAAATGGAGATGAGCACCACGGCCCAGAGTCGGAATTGACTAGACTTAATGTCAAGGGGAAACCTTTACTTTAACATTCATTAACAACATCATTTGTAACAGAAACAAAAGAAAGAAAGGGACGTTTTAATTGTGTGTCGTGCTGGTAATCTTAGTACAGAGTGCAAATTCCAAAGAATTGGAGGAGCACTTGCTTGTTTCTGTTCCTGTTCTCTGCATGCAATCTTTCTGCCAAAGTATACTCTTCAAATATTTTGTTCAAGTTATACTAGAATAGAAACAGAACCCACTTCTTTTTTAAATAGGAAGAACCCACACACAAACACATAACGTACATGTTTTCCCATTTTAAGTTGTGAACAAAATCTGTTCAACCAGGTTCGTGCTGCGAAGACAGAATGAGATGTACAATTCAAGGAGGAATTTCAAGAGGAACGCCATCACTGAACAGGTTGTCTTCAGCTGTGGAGAAAGCGTGTCTTGGCCACAGTGGCTGGATAACAGAGAGTAGGAAACCCTGTTGATCAACCCCTTTAGAAAGCAGTGCATATGGATTTCGAGAACTTGGAGGAAGTTCCTTTTTTCAATGAGAACTCCATGAGAAAAATAGCTGGAAGAAAGGAAAATCCCCGGGCTCTGTCTTACTTTACATGAAAGCAAAAAAAGAGGGGATATTTAATGTACAGATGCACAATTGCTGAAGACAGGGAAGGGAATTTGTAACACTGCAAGCACCAATTGGCTATAGCCAAATCCAAATCTTATATTGTTTTAAAAGCACGCACCTAATAGTGAGACATGTTCACGAAATTATCTTCACTACACTCCAAATTGCACTTGTATGCATCGTCCTGTTATAAATACAGCAGCCTTGAGCTACAGTCCAAATGCCACAAACAAATATCCACCAAGGTTTTTGTTTGTTTGTTTGTTTTCGTTTTAATTAAACTGTTCAACGGAGAAAAAGTTTCGGGCCTGAAAATAGTTGTTCTTTTATGATTTTGGGGTGCTGAAAACGAAAATGACATTTAAAAATGTATATTGGCTCTAGTTTTTATGATATAAGCAATCACGTGATCACATATGGTTGAAAAAATGCATGTTGCGACTTACACTATGGAAGATTCTAGAATATTCTAGAAAGTTTGATGACGCAGTATTAGTGCCGTGTGCAAAAGCCAGAAAGCCCTATATAAGGCCAGACTTTTGAACGGTGAGGGTCAGTCAGTTGAAGACTGAGACAGTATCGTTAAACATCATTTTACATTGTTCTTTTTACTGTAGTTATGCCTCGCACGTGTGTAAATAAAGCACTATGGAAAAAAGATATCAAGGCAAATGGACTCCGTCAATGCTGTCAGACTACTGCTGGAGCATTGTAAGAGACAATCCTTTCCTTGAATACAAAAGAAAAGTCAAGAGAAGCAAACAGGATATAAACTAAAGTCACGATTAAAGCAACATTTAAACTTTCAGACTTTTCAACTGCATTAGGCCTACTAATATAGTTTCTTGCTGCACAAACATAAACAATAGATTAATTAAATATTTCTCATGTAAAAACTATTGGCAATATAATTTGACTAAAATTTAGTAAATATTCACAGTTTATATACATGCAGTAAGGTTAGGCACATTATCATAATATTAACGAATTATCTATTGTGGAGAAAATTGAAATAGCTGTTGCATAAAAACCAGAGCCAATTAACACATTTAATTATTATATTTGAATTCAGCATGTTAAATTTATTAAGAAACGGCACATTTCGTTTCCGTAACTGAGAAAAACTGAAAATTTGTAGAACAGTGTTATTACGGTAGTGTTTCGGAGAACCTAACAGGCTTCTGTATACCAATGTGCAGCGAATTGCAGAACAAATACTGCACAGATCTACGGGAACCAGTTAAGTTTGCCTATTTAAAAAAAATTAAAGTATAATGCTTTTCAATAGCCTATGTCAGTGGGTCCGTGTTTTCTATAGTTAGGATAATGTGGCTATTTGAGGCCTGCTGGGGTTGTTTTGCTTCTTTATAATTGTCTTTATGTTAATATTATCCCAGTTCTTATTATCAGAGATACCTAACAATTTGACTCTCCATACTGGATCCAAATCAACCACAAACCCAGCAAGTACATTTCTTTGTACATTGAATTCGCACTTTCGGACATATATCGCTGGGTATTTTGCTAATCTTTGGTAGATGAAGAAAATATAATTTCAGGCTCAAGTTTCTGCAGCAATTATACCATCGACACAGAGGTGGCCCTAGGTAATTTTCGACAGTAACCAAACAGTATTTCCCCCCCCCCCCCCAACCAATCACTGATATATATTTTCTGTTCGTTGTGGGAGTTCTGTGTGCCATATTTGGTTCAATTCCATCATTGGTGGAGTTCAGAATGCTTTGATTGTAGGTGAACTATACATCCCAGTAACTACAACTCGCATATGTCAATGTCTATATGCAGTAGACAGGAAAGAGGGTGTATGGTATAGAGTAGTGTAATACTTCTCATATAGGTATTCAATTTATCCACATTTCACGTAAGTATACTCTTAACATTGTAAGTGGTATACCTCACACAATTTTACTCCAAACTTGATAAGATTCTCAAGTGTAACCAAGGTTTCAAATTAGGTTAATCATGCATACTTAACAAAAAGCTGTACATATAGGTAACGTTTACTCTAATTTTACAGTCCAGTAGTAGTAGTTTTGGTTCTGTAGAACAAATGAAGTCCAAAAATGGTCTTATTGCCGTCTTAAATTTGTTCTTAAGTCTTCATAGAGTCAAAAAACAGATTAATGTACACATAAAAGTTCAAATTCTTCATATAAGTGAAGTTGACGTGGATTTACTCTTGGATAAGTCCTGTATTGATCCTACAATACTTAAGAACCTGCTGTACCTCAATAGAGTGCTCGCAACCAAATAAAGAACTCTACATGTAAAGATCCTACAAGAGCATGTAAGTCACAACTTTAATACGAACACTATTATTTATGTTATACATCAGTTTGGGGTGTTTCCTTATATGTCTATTGTTAGTATGGTATAATGTAATATACTAGCTAGTTCTCCTTTTATTTTGACTTTTATTAGAAAAAGATAAGAAGGCAGAGCCAAGTAAACAGGGAGATTACCTGAAGAAGTATCGAAACTGGCCTGTACCCGGGAAACCAGTTGTACTCAACCAGCTGATCCCTAACCCATCTAAAACACAGACATGTGCCTTTCATCTCAAGAACAGACAAGCATCCCGAGCTCTGAAGATCACCTGGGAAGGAATCCCACTGGAGCATTGCAGCACACCCAAATACCTGGGAGTCACTCTGGACCGTGCTCTGACCTACAAGAAGCACTGCCTGAACATCAAGCAAAAAGTGGGTGCTAGAAACACTATCATACGAAAGCTGACTGGCACAACCTGGGGATCACAACCAGACACAGTGAAGACATCTGCCCTTGCGCTATGCTACTCTGCTGCTGAGTATGCATGCCCAGTGTGGAACACATCTCACCACGCTAAAACAGTGGATGTGGCTCTTAATGAGACATGCCGCATTATCACAGGGTGTCTGCGCCCTACACCACTGGAGAAATTACACTGCTTTGCCGGTATTGCACCACCTGACATCCGCCGGGAAGTAGCAGCCAATAGTGAAAGGACCAAGGCAGAGACATCTCCAGCTCATCCCCTGTTTGGGTATCAGCCAGCACGTCAACGACTTAAATCTAGAAATAGTTTTCTAAGATCTACAGAGAGACTCGCTGGAACACCTCAGCAAGCGAGAGTCCAAAAGTGGCAGGCTCAAACCCAGCACCTCAACCAATGGCTGATACCAAATGAGAGACTCCCTCCTGGGCACACAGAAGACTGGGCGACTTGGAAGGCACTGAACAATCTGCGCTCTGGCACCACGAGATGCAGAGCCAACCTTCAGAAATGGGGCTACAAAGTGGAATCCTCGACATGCGAGTGTGGAGAAGAGCAAACCACTGACCACCTGCTGCAATGCAACCTGAGCCCTGCTACATGCACAATGGAGGACCTTCTTGCAGCAACACCGGAAGCACTCCAAGTGGCCAGATACTGGTCAAAGGACATTTAACCAACTACCAAACTCACAAGTTGTGTAATTTTCTGTCTGTTTGCTTTGTTCTGTTAGAAATGTAATATATAATGGACTGGTTGCTCTGACACGACAAATAAATAAATACCCGGCACTACAGATTACTTGGCCATCCCTGACACCCAGAAACAACAACAATAATAAAGGACTGAAACTACAACACTGTGGAAAAGGACTTATCCAAGAGTAAGTTTTTTGACTCTATGAAGACTTAACAAATTTACACTTGAGAATCTTATCAAGTTTGGAGCAAAATTGTGTGAGGTATACCACTTACAATGTTAAGAGTATACTTATGTGAAATGTGGATAAATTGAATACCTATATGAGAAGTATTACACTACTCTATACCATACACCCTCTTTCCTGTCTACTGCATATAGACATCTGTGCGTTTAGTTAAGGTCTATTTTCCCCCAAGAGCGCCTCAAGAGCGCACCTGGGCAAAATCAACTCTACTGCAAATGCTTACTTTGCGTAATGGGTTGAGCCGCCCCTGCACCGACAGAACTGGGGACCAAGCAACTCATTGCAGTTGGGCTACTACATTGTAGCTTGAGATTCATTCAGTTTTAATCTGTAACTTCCCTTTGCTGTTACACTATACTGCTTTCCTATCCAGTTTAAACCATAGTCATAAAGTTGTTTTTAATGCAACAAGGAGGAGGATGTCAACAGTCTATTAAACAAAGTTCATTGGTACATCAGTAAGAAATCCTATGGACTTTTCTCTCAAAGTATATAAAGATTAATACATTCTGTACAGGTTGGTTGATTTCCAGTTATGAAGTAAACACTGTAACAAATTGTTCATAAAGCATTGTTTGTTTGTTTTAAAACACAGCCCCTACTTTCGTGGTGATGTGTGTATGTCTATTTTGGAAGTCTTCTGCCAGTCATCTCTATAAAGAGGTGGTGTCTTTAGTTTGAATTGAGCACACAGTATTCTAGCAAAGGAAGGAAGAGGCACTTTTGATTGGCTGGCTGGTAATCCTAGACATCCCTTTTTTTCAGTGTAATGTTATATCTCCAACACTAGATGGCGGTGCTGCAACAGAAGATCACTGTAGTGAGGGTTATTTTTTTAGGCACTTGGCTGCACATTTTCCAAGGTAGTGCCCAGTTCTCTGTTATGTCATCAAAATTGGTTTCTGCCGCATCTCCAGAATATCTAAATGGGAAAAAATTGGAAAGCATAATGGTCAGGAACGACAACAACAAGACTTTATTTATATACCGCTCTATCTCTAACTCAGAGCGGTTTCCAAGTAACATAAGCAATACATACAAGGAAAACAGCATAAACATAAAACTAACAAAACAATATAAGCATTAAAACCCACAATAGCACATATATATTTAAAATAAACCTGCCTGTTAAAAGCAATTTAAAAGGTCGGGCCGGGGTTAGTGCAATTTTAGAGGTCCCGAGAAATTATAAAAATCAAACATTTGCTGATAATAAATCAGTATTTGCAAAGTATTGTCGAAGGCTTTCATGGCCGGAATCACTGGGTTGTTGTAGGTTTTTCCCGGCTATATGGCCATGTTCTAGAGGCATTTTCTCCTGACGTTTCGCCTGCATCTATGGCAAGCATCCTCAGAGGTAGTGAGGTCTGTTGGAAGTAGGAAAATGGGTTTATGTATCTGTGGAATGACCAGGGTGGGACAAAGGACTCTTGTCTGCTGGAGCTAGGTGTGAATGTTTCAACTGACCACCTTGATTAGCATTTAATGGCTTGGAAGTGCCTGGGGGAATCTTTTGTTGAGAGTGATTTGATGTGCCTGATTGTTTACTCTCTGTTGTTTTGCTGTTGTAATTTTTGAGTTTTTTAATTATGGTACTTGTTTTTAATACTGGCTACCAGTATTAAAAAACTCAAAAATTACAACAGCAAAACAACAGAGAGAAAACAATCAGGCACATCTAATCATCTCTCAACAAAAGATTGCCCCAGGCACTGCCAGGCCATCAAATGCTAATCAAGGTGGTCAGTTGAAACATTCACACCTAGCTCCAGCAGACAAGAGTCCTTTGTCCCACCCTGGTCATTCCACAGATATATAAACCCACTTTCCTAGTTCCAACAGATCTCACTACCTCTGAGGATGCTTGCCATAGATGCAGGCGAAACGTCAGGAAACAATGCCTCTAGAACATGGCCATATAGGCCAGAAAAACCTACAACAACCCCATATTTGCAAATCTTGCAAAACATGTTCATTTTTTCCTTTTGGGGGAGTACAGCTGAAGCATTTTCTGTAGAGTCCACTGTAAACTCCACACATTGTTGCTAAAGATTTCTGTAAATGAGTGGGCTTCGGAAAACATTTTTCTGTTACCAAATTTTCGTGACTCCAACACTGAGCTTGGGGTCGGGACCCACAGTTTAAGAAACAGTGGCCTTGAGCAAGGCTTGTTAAACTTTTCCACTTGGGACCATATTCTGCCTGAGAAATGTTTACACCAATTATATAGGATAAATAGATCTAAAAATCAAACATTTACTGATAACAAAAATCAGCATTTGCAAAATTTGCTACCCAGGCTGATTTTCCTTTTTATGAAGTATAGCTGAAGCATCTTCTGCAGAGTCCACGGTAAATACTGCACACCAGATTCATGTAAATGTCTAAAACTAGATGATATTCAGAAACAAAAATTGAGATACCCCGACATTGAGCTAAGAGGATCTCATCTGGGGTCAGGTCCCACAATTTAAAAAGCAATGATCTATATGAAGGAAAAGTAAGTCTAACTTCACTCCTTTCTAACAATGGGCTGGGGGGGGGGGGCATGGAAAAGACTACATCACACGTCCTCCATGTACCATACCACATTGAGGATGTAGACACTTAAAGTACAGTAAGTATTCACTGCAAGCTTGCCTATGCTCCATTTTCTGTGTTTTTTTAAAAAAATGCTGAAACATTGAACCTAGTTGGCTTTTGGATAACCATCAGTGGCAGACTTGACTGGAAATGTCTTCTGCATGAGTCCCCTTTATACACTCGCCATTCATTTCAGTGAGATAGGAGCATTAACTTCCAATTTCTCCAATTTCAAAATACAGACGAGAGTTCACCTGATAAGATTCGATGCATTGGCAACGTGACATAAGTTAAGTGTGCATAGAGTAGGAAGTTTTCGTCCGTCCTGTTCAGCTTCAGCCATGAGCCCACAAGAGACCTTCCTGTTCCAGACAGAGACCGTGACCGGAGGTTGCTTGCATTGTGCAAATCTGTCACAGCAAAACAAACATTGGGGGGGGGGGGGGGGATATAAGATTATTATCCATACAAATGATTGCAGACACCCTGAATGAGTCTAGAAGGCAGTTTTCCCCAACAGGCAAGCCAACTACTTCTGGAAACATACAGGCAAGATATGGAAGTTTTCTCCAGGATCTCTTTGTCACCATCAGGAGACATGAACACATGGTCACAAGATGACTATTATCCCACACCCATATTTTTGTGACTGGGAGAAGTGTGGAGAGAATCCAAGTAAGTATTCTCTCTCTCTCTCTCTCTCTCTCTCACACACACACACACACACACACACACAAACCAATGTATGTTAGCACACAAGTTATTTTCCAAATTCTTCCATATTCATCCTGTCAAAAAAGTATTAAGATGTCCAGAGGACATTCTTCTCCCATTACCATATATTATGCAGAGAGGTTCTTGTCTGGGGGGATACCTTGATAGCAGAAAACTTCCCAGAAAAGGCTGCAACCAGCACTAACCTCACTTTCATTTTTGTGGCAAATTGAACATTTAGAGAAAAAAAATGAGCAAATATTTCTGCATGTGGTGACTAATATCTTTTACACAGAATGATACAAGTTGAAGTATCATTTATCTAAAATGCTTGGGACCAGAGATGCTTTAGATTTTGGATTTTTTAAAAAAATAATAATTTTGGAATATTTGCATATACATAATGCGACATCTTGGAGATGGGACCCAAGTCTCAACATAAAATTTATGATGTTTCATATGTACCTTATTCACCTGAAAGTAATCTTATACATAGTATACAGCTTACCTGTCCGAACGTATCTTTCCCTATGAAACTGCTAGGAGGTTCATAGGGAGAGATACATCTGGGGAAGCCCTGCTCAAGGTCTCGCCTCCTTCGCAGATGCGATTGGCAGAAATGAAAGACAGGGCCTTTTCAGCGGTGGCCCCTTGGCTATGAAACGCCCTCCCTAGAGATATCAGATTGGCACCCTTCTTCCTAACATTTCGAAAAAGAATTAAAACTTGACTCTTTGAGCAAGCATTTGCAAATGCAGTGTAACAGACTAATCTAGATCTACGAAACGATTGGACGATGCGACGAGAAAATGATTTTGGTAATGAGACACTGAGGACCTGTGTTTTAAGGCTTTTATTGTTTCTATTATTTTTTAAATGGCCTATATTATATGTTAATGTTTTTAATTATATTTTATGTTGTTGTTGGCATTGATTGCCAATTGTAAACCGCTTCAAGTCGCCTTCGGGCTGAGAGAGGCGGTATATAACTAACTAACTAAATAAATAAATAAATAAATAAATTTAACAATCTTCTACATGAAACAAAGTTTATGGCATTGAACCATCAGAAAGCAAAGATGTCACTATCTCAGCCACTGTTTTTTATTTGTTTGTTTGTTTTGGGATTTAGAGAATTTTGGATTTTCATATAAAGGACATTCAATCTGACTTTGACATAAAGAGTGCTTTAAACCAGTGCTACTCGAAGTAGTGGTCCATGGACCGGAATCAGGGCCCTTCCACACAGTCATATAACCCAAAATATCAAGGCAGAAAGTCCCACAATATCTGCTTTGAACTGGAATATATGGCACTGTGGACTCAGATAAACCTGTATGGAAGGGCCCTCAATCCATGAACTGTGGGTTGTCTGTCTGCAGCAGTTCCCAGGAGAGGAAGAAAACTGTAAACAACTGTTTTCTTCTGTGCCCACTGCGTTCGATTTTATATTATGTCAATTTGCTTTATTTATTTTATTCTATTTTGCTTTTGTATGTATTTTTATTCTGATATAATTGTTGTTGTCTGTATTTGTATTTTATTCAGCTGTATTGTATCTTTGGGCTTGGCCTCATGTTAGTCGCCGAGTCCCCCTCGGGGAGATGGTGGTGGAGTATAAATAAAGATTATTATTGTATTGTCGAAGGCTTTCATGGCTGGAATCACTAAAAAACCCACAAGAACTTAAAGATTATTATTATTATTATTATTATTATTATTATTATTATTATTAAACAATGAACAGAAATCTGGTATTGGTCTCAGGCCCACCAAGGGGGGACCTGCTGGTCTTCCACACAGGATAACTTCAGAAACATTTGTTTAAAAACATTTTTAAAATAAGCTAATTCATTTGATCTCTTCCCTCACCTCCATCATCATCGTCCCTGAAGAACTCCTCACTATCATTGGCAGAATGGGATTTCTTCATTTCAGCAATTCTATTCCGGGGCACTTTCCTTTTGAGGGATGGGGAGAAAAAGGAAGGGCGGTTGTTGCGCTCTGGAGTCGGAGGAGTGCTGAAAGACGTGACCTGAAGGCCAAAAGAAAGAAAGAAAAGAAAGTGCATTGTAAGGAATGACTGTTCCGTATGAGTAACATTTCATTGTCTTGAACATCATTCACTAGTGATCTGATCTAACCTACAGTCTAGTACAGGGGTCCTCAAACTTTTTAAACAGAGGGCCAGGTCACCATCCCTCAAACTGTTTGAGGGCTGGATTGTAATTTGAAAAAAACATGAATGAATTCTTATGCACACTGCACATATCTTATTTGTAGTGCAAGACTCTTAAAATAATACAATAATTAAAATGAAGAACAATTTTAACAAATATAAACTTATTAGTATTTTAATGGGAAGTATGGGCCTGATTTTGGCTGATTTTTTGTCATGTCAGAAACTGCAAGTCGCTTCTGGTGTGAGAGAACTGGCCATCTGCAAGGACGTTGCCCAGGGGACGCCAGGATGTTTTGATGTTTTACCATCCTTGTGGGAGGCTTCTCTCATGTCCCCGCATGAGGAGCTGGAACTGACAGAGGAGCTCATCCGCGCTTTCCCCGGATTCAAACCTGTGACCTGTTGGTCTTCAGTCCTGCCGGCACAGGGGTTTAACCCACTGCAACACCGGGGGCTCATTTTGGCTGATGAGATAGGATTGCTGCTGTTGTTGTTGTTGTTGTGTGCTTTCAAGTAGTTTCAGACTTAGGTTGACCCTGAGCGAGGGCCGGGTAAATGACCTTGGAGGGCCGTATCCAGCCCTCGGACCATAGTTTGAGGACCCCTGGTCTAGTAGAACATGAAAAGTGTATTTTAAAAACCATACATGCTTGCAGCCTTTAGAAGCATTGGAAAACCACACATATTTAAAGATAACAATAACAAATGTGAAATATTTTAATGTAGGGTTGTCTATGAGCTATGTCTAGCCGACAAACTTTTTTATCTGGTTGCAAACAACCCTGCGGGGATATAATATCAACTAAGGCAAGTTAAAAGACTGTTTGACAGCTTCATTCATAAAATCAAGCAACTTCCAAAGTTCTATGTTACTTTAATTTTCCAATTCTTTCCCCCTGCAACTGCGTTGATGTAATGCCTTTGGTAATGCCCAACAGTAAAATCAACTACAAAGTGCAAAGAGGTCAATTTGTACTGTAAAGTCCACTTTTCGGTGCCCACGTTGCACTGCAATCTCAGGGACTTTGACTTGAGGGAGCATTCTGGAGGAAAAAAAAACTTTCTCATGTATCATTAACTTACTCTTTCATGCAGAGGGGAATTTGGGTTTGAACCATCCTCTGTACCATAGGGAGAAGTGTCACCTGTTGACACACGGCTCACTGCCATTTCTGCATGCCCTTTTCCCTGTGGTCCCTTCATTCGCACAAACTCCATATTGTTGTATTTATAAAAGCCAAAGGACATTCTCTGTGCCATTTTTGCTGCAACACTGACCTATAATGGACAAAAAAAATTGTGAGCCACTTATAAGGCATATGTGTAAACAACAAACCAATATTTTTTCTCTCCACAACCTCAACATGTGATGTAAAAAAGGACAGATAACTACAGCCAATTCTTACCCTATTATCATAGACCTTCTTCAAGGCCTCATAGCGGATGGATCCCTGAAAGATGACACCTTGGAAGGTGTTACTTTTGTCACTGGCCACCAACTCCACACAGACCATCTCGCCTTCCCCTACAGTCATGTCACTGAATACCTAATGTGACGACCAAACAAAGTGAACACTTATAAGAAGAAGAAAAATAGTAGTTGCAGACCACAAAATTTTACTCTGTGAGCTATCCAGAGTAAAATGCAAATTGAGTTTTCCAGGCAAATGATACAGGATTTCAATCTAGCAAAACAAACTCCAAAACATTAGGCTGGGAACACTAAATCCTACAGCAAAGTACTGTATATTCTAGCGTATAAGACTACTTTTTAATCCAAGAAAATCTTCTCAAAAGTCAGGGGTTGTCTTAAACATGGGAGTCATCTTATACATGGGACTCATCTTATACGCTGGAGTACCTTTACGCATGGGAATTGTCTTATATGTGGGAGTAGTCTTATATGCCAGGAGTAGTCTTATAGACTGGGTGCTGAAACTTCCAATCCGGATTGGAGACTCTGTGGTTGCTGCATATTGTGGGGGAGCTAAAAAAAAAAATGGCAGTGGCTGTGTTCCTGCCATATGCAGCGACTGTATGAAAGCATTAAGATCAATGCCGTACAAGTATGAAGAAAATCCATTCATCAAGATTCGTAGACTTAATGCGGTCCCGATGGTGAGGTGAAGGGGTGCCTCACCGGGAAGGTGTAAGTGAAAGGCGGATCAAGCTGCAGGCATCCGGGGCACCCGGGGTATGGAAAAAAGAGATAGAGTGGTTTTAGGCCCAGAAAAACACACCTCTTTTACCTGTCTGGCCCGTCCTTGTATCCTATTATCGTACTTCCTCCTCTGCCTCTCAGACCTCGCTCCTGAAGACTGCAGTGAAGCGGTGCAGGTGTGCATGTGCGAGATCTGAGAGGCAGAGAAGGAGGTACAGTAATAGGAAAATTACCATATTGAAATCAAATCTGATGCTTTTAAAAAAATTATTTGGTATGTGTTGGAAGAGGGGTAGTCTTATACGGCAAGTGTATCCCAAACTCTACATTTTAACTGGAAAAATTGTGGGTCGTCTTATATGCCGGAATATACGATACTTCTTAACCATTGGCCATCTGGATGTTGTAGACTTCAATTCTCAGAAACTGCAGCCAATGGTAAAAGTGCCTAGGCATTGACTACTTCTGGAAAGCCAAAGTTTAAGAATGCTTGCTAGAACAGACATTTTAAGAAATGAGGGGGAAAAAACCCTAACCCCTAACAAAAATTACTGCCACCATTGCGCACCATCTCAATCACACATAATAGCAGAGGACACAGAACTCAAGGAGCTGTTGTCATATCATCTGTTTTTAGCACTGACCCATAGATAAATTGATCTAAGGGTTTTTTAGGGGGGCAGCAGGGGAGGGTTGCTAAAAAAACTGCCTTAAGGACAAGCATCTATGAAATATTAGCAAATTTTCTAATACAGAGGTACTGCAGCTAATGGAGTGGAAAACACCAGGGAATCCTGCACTAACTATTCTGAGTTTTCCAAAGGAAGGTGGAATACAAGCATTTAATATCTTCTTATACTGCCGTCCACATGGCAAAATGCTGTGCGGCAATAATGTGCTAAAACAATCATTGTCAATGACAAAATGGCTATGGAAGTTCTAATTGTGTTAAATTAATGCTAATAACATGGAACTTTTTTTTTTGGCGGCTCAGGGAGCTTCATCACTTAACAATTTAAAGAAACAGGACTGTATGCTGGAACTCAGCTCGATGGGCAAGCTCCATAACATCTGGAACTATAGAGACACACAAGAAATGACACCTCCTCGGACTTACCTCTTCAAAGTTGTCAATCATAAAAAATATGTTTGGATAGCTGATCTTTGATTCTTCCCCTTTGCTGTCCATAGGATGTTTACTTGGAGAGGCAAAAACTTGCTGGAAGAAATCATTATAATTTATTATGGGTCTTTCAACATAAACCAGCAAAAGAGAGTCATTAGGATGCATGGTCAAGCATTTTGGGAGCGGGGAGGGAGAGCTCTCCCTTTCTTCTACTGATAAGAGCAGCAAATGTGTGGATGGGTGGAAGGCAATGACCCAATGAAGTTCCATGTGCTCTTCTTTAGATTTTAATCCAACCTTAACAAATAGTGATATGGCATGAGCTTTATATTAGGGCAAGTTCCACAAACACGTCTGGATTCACACATCCTTCAACCAAGGTTTGCCATCACTAAGCCATCACTAGTTATAACTGGTTCAAAATTTACATCTTGATGAAATGCAGACGACGAAGAGTCTTTAAGGCATATCATTGGTTTTTGCAAAGTTATTTTGAGTGAAAGGAAAGGGGGAACATCTGAAGCAAAGGAATTGGTTCTTCGAGCCACTTGTTGTGTGGCATGCATCTTACCTGGGATTTCTTCCTATGAATGTGAATATCCCCTCCATCAGAACGGGTGCAAACCGCACATGTCACTATGTAATCCAGCTGAAACAAAACCAGGCATTTTGAGAAAGATGCATTGATCACACATAAACAAACCAAAAACATTGCAGAAAATGTAATTTTAAAACAGCCAATCCTCCTCAGTTGAATACTAATCTATTGCAAGAGAGACAAAAGGATAAAAGTGCTTGTATCAATCTATATAAATAAAAATATAATGTTCGTTTGTGGGATTAACATAACTCAAAAACCACTGGATGAATTGACACAAGATGTGGACACTACATCCCTAACAGACCAATGAGTGACCATCACTCATAAACCCCTCCTAAAAAACAGTGGAAAGAACTTAAAAACTCAAAAAAGCTAAATGACGATATAGTGCATGCGCGAAAACAACAACTCCCAGCATCCCCTAGAACAGGCCCTTTAGGGGAGGAGGATGCTCCAAATGTACTGCTTCCAAGCTACAAACCTGCTTCTCTTTGGAATTCTTTGAGAGCATCCCAATGCATATATACGTATTTCCTAATTCCTATTCCTGGACTGCAACTCCCAGCAATCCTCCAGATAGATAAAATATACAAATTAGATAGAGACAGATCAATCAGGAGGACTGCTGGGCGTTAAAGTCCAAGAATAAGCAGAGAAAGAAGAAAGGAGAGAAATAAAAAGTGAGGGGAAGGAAGGAAAAAGGTAGAGAAAGAAGGAAGGAGGGAAGGAAGGAAGGAAGGAAGGAAGGAAGGAAGGAAGGAAGGAAGGAAGGAAGGAAGGAAGGAAGGAAGGAGAGAGAAGGAAAGAGGAAGGGAGGGAAGGCAAAGTTTTTGAGGATCATTCCCACTTGTAAAACTGAGGTATCATGTTTCCTAGTGCTGAAAAATGAAATGCACTTCCATACTGTTAGCAGTGAAGCAGAGTAGCATACTCGTAGTTTCAGTTCAATACTAGGATTCTGAGAACCTAACTGGTTTGGAGAGAAAGTGGGAGGCTACAGAACCAATTTCCTGTGGGGCTAAAAAATCAATCCCACTCCCTGCCCTTTCCTCCTATATAAACCAGAGACAGATAACTCTCCAATGGACAGTTATGAAATTATAGTCTTGTTTGGAAGTTGTGGTTCACTTTTCACAAACCTACTGTGCCCCTGCTTTGGTCCTGCCACACTGGAGGGTACAGTAGCCACATAGCCCGTAACATCACATATGTATCAGTCCCCATAAATCCTATAGGCAATTTTATAACAGTTACCAGTTGTGGTTGAGGTCAGAGCAAGGACAGGGAGAATGGGGTAGCAAGATGGAATTATTATTTTTTCCACTGAAGCTTTATTACTGTTAGGAGCAGCCTGAAATTTAGTATCCTTTTCCCTCTCCATCTCTGAGAAACAACGGTGTCTGGCCTTCTTTCCCACTAATAAAAATAATTTTCACATCCAAAAATAAATCCTGGAATAGAACTGTTTTTCTCTTCAAAACGAATTAGAATTTTGGACATTGCAAGACACGCTAGATTCTGCATACACAGATTCGGCCATGCACAGCTTGAAAGTTGATGTTTTTTAAAAAAAAAAAATCCAAAAAGCAAACCTTTATTTTGCATTGGGACACCATTTTATTATGCCATTGTATATGATGGATTGCTCCTCTATGCACTATTGTGACTATACGCTATTGGCTATACGCTATTGGCCTCAAAATCCATTCCAGTGCAAGTACATGCAAAGGCTGTAAACAAGATGACATTAAATCAACAAATAACAGTCCAGGCCCCACTGCAAAACAGACAGCACTGTAGCCAAATGCACAATGTCCAAAGCATTGGGGACTACAACTTTCAGTTGTATCACCTACCAGCATGGTATGCTAGCTTTCTTTTCCTGAAAAGTCCAATCACTGTCCAGATCTCCTATGAATACAAGAAAATTCTGAAAGAAGAAAATGCTTTCTGTTACCTTTTGCAGAATGAGATTCAGACAGACACTCTCCTCCCAGTCAATATCTGGGTCTCCCAAACCAGGCAGCTTCTTAGAATCCCTGCGATACACTTCAACTTCAACCTGCTGAGAAAATCCAAACGAAAAACATTGATCAACAACAGGAAAGGAATTACTAGCTGGTATGTGTCTATTAAGGTGGGAACAATAGCTTACTTCTCCCACTGCTTATGTGTCATGTAGCAGCACATTATATCAAGCCGAAGAAGTCCAAAACATATTATTTTGTTGAAAGTAACCTTGCTGAAAGCAACATTTCCCAAGGCTACCTACAGAAAGGGCAATGCCTGGGGTGTAACTCATCCACAACAGCAAAGTTATGGTATAGGAGAAAGAGGAGATGGTTTGAGTCCTAGTCAATAATAATAATAATAATAATAATAATAATAATAATAATAATAATAATAGGAACTTATGTCACAAGTACCACCAACCAGCAGTAAAGAATTGGTGGGATCATAAACCTGCAAAGGTAGTGGAAAACGAACACGCAAAAATACTGTGGGACTTTCGAATCCAGATTGACAAAGTTTTGGAACACAATACACCAGACATCACGATTGTGGATTATTGATGTCGCCATACCAGGTGACAGTCGCATTGAGGAAAAACAATAGGAAAAACTCAGCCATTATCAGGACCTCAAAATTGAATTGCAAAGGCCCTTGCATAAACCAGTACAGGTGGTCCCAGTGGTCATTGGCACACTGGGTGCCATGCCAAAAGATCTCAGCCGGCATTTGGAAACAATAAACATTGACAATATCACAATCCGTCAACTGCAAAAAGCCACCTTACTTGGATCTGTGCGCATCATTCGAAAATACATCACATAGTCCTAGATGCTTGGGAAGTGTTCGACTTGTGATTTTGTGATATAAAATCCAGCATATAGATCTCATTTGCTGTGACATACTGTGTTTTTGAGTCAGTAAAATAAATTATTATTATTATTATTATTATTATTATTATTATTTATTGTTGAAGGCTTTCATGGGTAGATCACTAGGTTGTTGTAGGTTTTTCGGGCTGTTTGGCCATGTTCTAGAAGCATTCTCTCCATACATTTCGCCTGCACCTATGGCAGGCATCCTCAGAGGTTGTGACCTAGAACATGGCCATACAGCCTGAAAAACCTACAACAGCCCAATAATAATTTTATTTCTTACCCACCTCACTTCGTAGCAGGTCACAGCACAGGCAATCACAAAAACATTGCAAAAATTATATAAACACGCATATTAAAATGCAGCTCTATAAAAGATACGTATTAAAATGTACTTCTATAAAATACATATTAAATACACAAGACAGAGATTAAAACACAAGACACGAGTTTAAAAGTAATGAATAAAACTGGCTGGACTGGTAGAATTGGAGGAGAGAAGAACTGGGGGGGGGGTCCCCATTTTCTCCTTCTGTTTGGTTACCTTGCTACTCCTGATCAATGTTTTGAGATTGTAGTTCAATCTATTTCTAAGCCATCCCTATGCAAAGGATTAATCTATGTCTTGAGAAGAGAGATCAAAATCAGTCTTAGCTGACAAGACTGTCAACACATTGCATTATGTAGAACCATTTTTAACACACGCTGCTGCTTTCAAAGGGGGGGGGGGTCCAACCCAAAATTGGAAAAGGTGGCAAAAGCCTTATTATTTGTCATAGATACTATGTTGGTGCTTATAAGTTTGAGTTAAGGATGCCTATCAAGTTGAACTGACGTCAATCTGCACAGCAGGATTTCAAGATGAGCTAAAGCCTGGACAGATGGAAAGAACATATGCAGCCTTCGTGGATGGTTGCAGAGCCCAAAGTAACAAAGCAGCAGCAATTTCTAACCAGAGGTGTGCAGCTAGAGCTCCCATACACCTGCAGATGGTCCCCCCCCCCCAAGTGCAGGCACAAGATGGTCCATTGTTTTCTATCAATGAACACGAGACAGCTTGCCAAAACTTTCTCAATTACTCTTAGCAGTTGCTATTTACTAGGCTTGTTTGATTAAAAAATGCACAAGAATCTAAGAAACGTTGAGCAAAGTTTTGTCAAAGTACTTTGCCCATCCTTATAACAGATTTCCTGACAGCCCCCCCCCCCCCCCCCAAAAAAAAAATTTATAAGAAACCAAAAAGTGTCCCTGTAACAGCCACAGATGAATAGTGGTGTGTATAGGCAAGTTCACTAGTGCTTAGAAGTTGGAGAAATTATTCACCGGAGGGGGAAAAAGGATTTGTTACTAATGTGCCCTAGTCTTTTGTAGATGATTTATAAGACCATTTGCAGTTACATGACTAAAAAGGCAGTAATGGAAATATATACAAACCCATTATTTCAGCTAAGAGAGTGAATAATAGCAGGAGAGGGGCAAGAGATAAATCCTAAGCAATATAAAACATTTATAGACTGGAAGGAATTAGAAGCTACTCTGTAAAAATTTTCAGTGAACATTTTGTTGTGAAACCAAGAAACAACTGTAATTAAGTCTAACAGATCCACTCATTCTCTCTTTCTTATATATGCACACACAGAGAGAGACATATACCCATGAAAGTAGATGAGAAGATAGATAGATAGATAGATAGATAGATAGATAGATAGATAGATAGATAGATAGATAGATAGATAGGAATGAGGCTACCATTTAAGAACTCAGGGCTGCCCCAGGGCTGAGCAAGGAAGAACTTGTTTTAATTTGTACTTGAGTCATTAACTTGCTAGAGGACCTATGTGCAGGCCAGTGATCTTCCCAGATGATGACCAATACGAGAGTTGAATGAAAAGTAATGTCTCCACCTTCGTAACTCCTCAACAGATGGCAGTACTGGTATGCAGCAGGTACTGGCTTGTTCGGTAGACTCTTCTCCACATTTCCATTTTGGCGAGAAACATTAGCATTGAACGGTTGTGTTGTTCAAAGTATGGAACCCTGCACAGATGGTCAGTCAATGAGACTTAAGCAACGTGCAGTCATTGAATTCTTGACAGCAGAAGGTGTCACCTCAAAGGAGATCCATCTTGAGAATGCAAGCTGTTTATGGTGATTGTGTTAATGTGAGTACTGTGCGTCGTTGGGCGAGTTTTAGGTGTCAGCATCCTGGGTACCCATTGTGCACAGATCTTCCGATAGCCAAGCAAAGCAATAATGTGACCCACACCCAACTATGCTTGAAATTTTCCTCTGAATGATACAACGATCATCCTGAATCAATCTGTCAACTTTTTGCTTGGGAAACTCGGTGGTTGCTGTCACAGGACATCCAACTCTTTGTTTGTCACGCAAGTCAGATGTTCCCACCTCAACATCTTTAAACTTTCTCACCCAACGACGCACAGTACTCACATCAACACAATCACCATAAACAGCTTGCATTCTCTGATGAATCTCCTTTGGGGTGACACACTCTGCTGTCAAGAATTGAATGACTGCACATTGTTTAAGTCGCACTGACCGACCATCTGCGCAGGGTTCCATTACTTCGCACTTTAACAACACAACTATTCAATGCTTAGGTTTCCCACCAAATGGAACTGTAGAGGAGAGTCTACTGAATAAGCCAGTACCTGCCGCATACTGCCATCTGTTGAGGAGTTACGAAGGTGGATGCATTACTTTTCATTCAACCCTCATATAAAGAGAATGCTTAACCATTCCCAATGTGTCATACTGCCATTCCCCCTCCACAATACTTGCTCAAGATTCATACTATTTATTTTAAGCTCTTTTTGTCAAATTCCACATTTTTCCATTGTTTTCCCTCTATTGCTGTCCCCATGTTCCCTTGCGCTGTTAAGAATGCTGTTAGTGGTAAAATTCCTTACCACTCACAATACCTTATTTTGTAGTGTGTTGGATCAGGACCAAATGGTACATGCTTAGATCTCATTAGAAGGTTGGAGGTTTAGCCACCTTCAAGTTTTTTGGATTCTTTTGTTAGGGGAGAAAGATCTTGAGGATTTGTTTGGGTGGTATGTAGATGTCTGTGTCTTAAAGTTGTCTGTCCACTTACGGAGACTCCCGTGAATTTCTGAGGGTTTTCTTAGGTAAGGGACACTCAGTTCCTTACCCGTTTCTTCCTTTAAAACATAGCCTACAGTACCTGGTATTTGTTTTGCCAATTCATTTTTATTAGTGAAAGACTGAACATGACATACATATAGACAAACATTGACAATAGAGTGAGATATATATGTGTGTGTGTGTGTGTGTTGATCCATACATACACATACGTATATATTTCCACATGTATATTCGTTTATATACATATGGACACGCAACAGAACTTACCCTAAGAAAAAATGGAAAAAAAGAAAAGAATATATATATATATATATATATATATATATATATATATATATATGAGAGAAAATAAAAATACCCTTACAAAATATTTGTTGATGGTCTTCCATTCAAATATTAACCAGGGCTAACCCTGTTTCATTTCCAAGTTCAGATGGGATCTGGTGTGTTTAGCGTCTTTAGGCATAATTGTTCTTCTAAGGAAACAATTAGATTCCACCATTATTATTATTATTATTATTATTATTATTATTATTATTATTATTATTATCATCATCATCATCATCATCATCATCATGTCAGGAGCAACTTGAGAAACTGCAAGTCGCTTCTGGTACCATGATTTTCACTATTAGAAGAACTATAGAAGCTCTTAATCCAACTGCACCAACTTCCAAACAGGAAATCCAACAATTCCTTGTAGCAAGCTATACGGTATATGTCCCAATTGCTATAATGAACAAAAATCCAACAATTGGTAGGCATGATGATGCCACTGCTAGTTTTTGAATTTGTGTTCATAGAAGGTCCAAAAACACACAAAATATACCTCTGATTAAATACCACCTACTTTGTCTGGTCAAGGAAGCAGTAGACTAACACATTCAGCTACGACAGCCATAGTAATAATAATAGCCATAATAGTAGTAGTAGTAATAATAATAATAATTTTTAAAATTTATTTATAACCTGCCCTATCTCCCCGAGAGGACTCAGGGAGGTTCTGTCTTACCTTGACAGTGAATATTTATTTATTTATTTAAAACATTTATATTCCGCCCTTCTCGCCCCGAAGGGGATTCAGGGCGGAGCACAACATATATATGGCAAACATTCAATGCTGGGACAAGAATTCATTATATGGAGGCAATGTCAACAGAGGAGGGTGGAACATTCATGAATTAAAGATGTCATGAACCAATGTTAAATCCTTTCCCACCTTTGTCAGCTGGATGCATATATTTCTCACCACTCAGGTAAATAGCTATTCAGAAACCTGTATCAAAGACCAAATGCACAAAGACGCAGCCTTATTAATAGCCAGCTATAGCCTAATTCAGTTCCTTCCCTCTCAGCAAGCTGGGAAGTGAACTGGTAGGTTTCATACAATACAGACAATTGTACTCTGTAGTCAGTGCCTGTATGATTCATAAATGCAGTATTCAATTATTCATTACACTCTATTGTGTTTTTCACGGGAAAGACATGTTGGTTTTTTTACTGTGTGTGTGTGTGTGTGTGTGTAGGTAAAGGTAGTCCCCTGACATTAAGTCCAGTCATGTCTAATTCTGGGGTGCGGTGCTCATCTCCATTTCTAAGCCGAAGAGCCAGCATTGTCCATAGACACCTCCAAGGTCATGTGGCCGGCATGACTGCATGGAGCGCCGTTACCTTCCCGCCGGAGCGGTACCTATTGATCTACTCACATTTGCATGTTTTCGAACTGCTAGGTTGGCAGAAGCTAGGGCTGACAGCGGAAGCTCACGCCGCTCCCCAGAATCGAACCTGCGACCTTTCGATCAACAAGCTCAGCAGCTCGGTGCTTTAACCCATTGCGCCACCAGGGAAGTTGGTGCAATATATACATACATATATATAATGAAAACATCCAACACTGATTTTATACATGTGCTCCAATAGCCCTTATTTAGTAGGAATACATAGAACACAGATATCTATTACTAAGATACACAAAGTATTATGTTATTGTTGTTGAAACTTCAAATATGATGTCATATGACAGGTTTATTACTTATAAACACAATATAGAGGAACAACTTCTCTTAGTCATGGATAAATGTCCATATTCATTTAGATAAACATAAGTCCAAATCTGTCTGATGATTTAAAGTCACTTGTAGATGTTTCGAAGGATTATTTGTGGCATCCAAGGTTGTGTCAGAGAAGAGTTCTATACGGTGCCCAGGTTGTGTCAGAGAACTCTTCTCTGACACAACCTTGGATGCCGCAAATAGTCCTTCGAAACATCTACAAATGACTCTTTAAATCATCAAACAGATTGGACTATTATGTTTATCTAAATGAATATGGACATTTATCCATGACTAAGAGAAGTTCTTCCTCTATATTGTGTTTACAAGTAATAAACTTGTCATATGACACCATATTTGAAGTTTCAACAACAATAACATAATACTTTCTGTATCTTATTTAGTAGGGACAGACAAAGCAAAAGAGTACTGGTCACCGTTACATTACTATTCCTATTTTGAAAATGGAAAAGAATAGAGAGATGTCATGCTTCGGAGGTGCAATTTTTCAGGGTTCATCTTCTCCATGATCACAAGAACCTCAGACAGGGAGAGACAGATTTTCGGTAGGGTAAAGTTAAAAAAAACTGCAAATGCAGACACATGGATATGAAGACAACAAACAATGTGCCAACCACTGTTTTGGGTGTGATTTATTTCACACTATCAACTGCACATTGTAGGATAGCGAGATATTTCAAAAACATCCAAGAACAGGCATTCCAAGCAACTTGTTGCAATTAATCAATACAATTAGCGAGGCAGGTATAAGAAATTGAAAATAAAGTGGTGGTTCTATTTATTAAAATCTATGATGTGCTCAAAACTGGAGAACTGTCTAGACTGAGGTTAATTACCACACCTTTAAAAGAATATTACAGAGCTTACAAAAATATGAATACAGAAATTATGCATACTGGGCCTATTACTGTGCTACTTCTACCACAAGAATTTTTTTTTTTGACGTGAGAAACTGCAAGTCGCTTCTAGTGTGAGAGAATTGGCCGTCTGCAAGGATGTTGCCCATGGGACACGTGGGTATTTTGATGTTTTACCATCCTTGTGGGAGGCTTCTCTCATGTTCCCGCAATGTGGAGCTGGAGCTGATAGAGGGAGCTCATACACGCTCTCCCCGGATTCGAACCTGAGACCTGTTGGAATTCAATCCTGCCAGGACAGGGGTTTAACCCACTGCACCACTGGGGGCTCCACCACGAGAATGAAGGAAAGGGACTCAGGTACCAAAATAACAATGTTGATTGTTGGGGGCCAGCATCTCATGGCAACAAGATCACTTGGGACAGCACTACACAGTCACCTCTTTTGTAGAAAAGCTGGAAAACTACCAGTCGATGAAGAAACAGGCATATTAAATGATTAAATGGGTAGAGAAAACAGGGAGAAATAAAATTTCTCCTTATTTCTTTAATACAAGAATCTAGGGTGAAAACACAATAGAACTAAAGATAGGTTGACTGAGGATGGCAGATGTACAGCCTTGTTCATAACAGTCTAGAACCGAGGAACGTTAGGCAGGAATCCTACCCTTATTCTCGATCATGCATATTTCAGTTTGCAAAGCTAGATTCCTCAGTTCCAAATCTGCTGCAAGAAAAACAACAAGCAGATATAAGTAGAGGGGAGAAGAAACTTTTCTGCTTCTCTCATTGATACTAGAACCTAGGATGATCCTTCAAGTCAGCGGTCTGTAGTAGCACATGACATTCTCACATGAGGGTTGGGGTGTGCTTTTGTGACTGTTTAACAGTGTGTTAATGTGCTATTTATTACACAACGTCATTGCACGAGGGCCATTTCCGGGCCACTCCCTTTGTTTGGCCATACCTTTTAATTCAAGAACCTGTGAACTGGCTCCTAAAAGTGCTGCATTCTAGTGTTGACACTGATGCTATAAGTAACTACTACTACTTCTGCAATACTTGATGAAGCCACATGGTGGTGAGGGTGTGTTGTAGACATAACTTTTCTCTATGTAAGCCACCTTGAGTCCCCTTCAGGGTAGAAAAGGGTGGGGCATAAATAGGGTAAATAAATAAATAAATAAATAAATATAGCTTTAAAATGTTTATCTATATAAATAAAAATGTAATGTTAGTTTGTGGGATTAACATAACTCAAAAACCACTGGGCGAATTGACACCAAATTTGGACACAATACACCTATCAGGCCAATGAGTAACCATCACTCATAAAAACACTGAAAAACACAGCAGAAAAGCCAAAAGCCAAAAAACAAAAAATACACATATACATATATACACAAATATATAATAATAGTAATAATAATAATAATAATATATTTGTAATTATATACTTATAATTATATATACTTACATAATTGGTATATATATATATATACCAATTCAAGGTGCAGGTTCTTACCTACAAAGCCCTGAACGTTTTGGGACCCGCCTACCTGCGTGACCGTATCTCCATATATGAACCCACATGATCCCTTTGATCATCCGGAGAGACCCTGCTCTCAATCCCACCAGCATTGCAGACGCGATTGGTGGGGACAAGAGAGAGGGTCTTTTCGGTGGTGGCCCCTCGACTCTGGAACTCACTCCCTAAAGACATCAGACAGGCCCCAACTCTGGCAGTCTTCAGGAGGAGCTTGAAGACGTGGCTGCTCCAGCGTGCCCTCCCGGAATAATGATCCCATAGCACTTTGTCCTCCAAGCACTTTACATTTCTTTAGGTCTGCTCGTATGCCCTTCCACAAACACCACTATCACCTTTTCGTTCATGTCCCAGCATTACTTCCAATTTTAATTTTACATTTGGCCTTCCCACTGTTTTTAATTATGTGTTGTCTTATTGATAATGCTGTATATTTTATTGTCTATGTTTTTTATTTTAATTGCTTGTATTGCTGTTTATTGCTTGTATTGTTGTATTTGGACACGGCCTCATGTAAGCCGTACCTTGGGGAGATGGTAGCAGGGTACAAATAAAGTGTTGTTGTTGTTGTTGTTGTTGTTATTATTATTATTATTATTATTATTATTATTATACACACACAAAACACATATACACAGACAGGGCCACAGCAACACATGGCAGGGGGTAGCTAGTGTTAACTAAAATTAAATTGTTTAAAATGTCTGTCTTGTAGTGTAAATGCTACTGAATCAGATTATTTAGCCCAACGATTAGCTCATGCTGGTAACCCTTTCCCCATCTCTGGGGCCAACATACCTTCTTCCCGTCTCCATTATCCTCACCAACATAGGAGAGTTTCCTCCGGACATAAAAAAGCATGTCATCCTGCCGGGAGGCCAATTTCTCCATAAAGTAGGTGGAAAACATCCATGTCCAAAATACAATGCGGTCATCTTTGAAACATCCTAAAAGAAAAAAAATGCAAATTAGGCACTACTTCATTTGTTTTGTTTCCATCTCAGTATATTAAATTGCAGTCTCTTCTGATTCATTTCCAAATCTGATCCTGTTTAGTCAAAGCAGTTGGATGAAATCATTATTATTCAGATGCTTGCTATGATGTGAATGAAAGGTGAATAACATGCCCTTTAGTATGGAAGAGAGCCAAAATGCATCACAACTCCGCTGTATGTAGCAGTGGATTAAGTTACTGCAGGCAAGTCAAATCCAATCAAATCCATGAAAGTCACACTCTGTTTCCCACACTGTTTGACAGTTATATCACTTAGAACATTACCACTCAAAGGAGTGTCAGGGACCAGTGTTGGTCCATGAACCCTCAGCTGTCAGTCTGCAGCAAGTTTCCAGGAAAGATAGAAAAAAATCTTATTGCCAATGGATATAAATATAATACTAGCCCCGGCACATAATGCCAAATCCCCACATCAGATATCCTGAGAAGCGCTCATTTGGAAAACATTGATCTTATTCATTGACAGACAACAGTACTGACTAGCCCAAAATCATTCCGTGAATCCGTAGCAGGGAATTCATGAGCAACTATTTAGGGACCACCGCACTTACTCTGAGCCCCTCGAACCCAACATCAATTTTCGTTCAGCCATGATACTGTTTTTACGATGTTGCCTGATTGTGATGTTTTTTATTGATTGTATTTTATTGTGCTTGTATTAACCTATAATTCTTGGGCTTGTACCTTTATAAGCTGCCCTGAGTCCCTTCGGGGAGAGGGAGTATAAAAATAAAGTTGTTGTTGTTGTTATTATTATTATTACTATTTGAAACACAACAAGATGAGTACCCAGCAGACACTCTGCTGGCTATTGTATTGGGTCACATGTCGGACACTTCCCAAGCCGAATAATGCGTGCAGATCCCTGTAGCTGGCAGATGGTAATTTTGTCAGTGCCGATTATGTTTAAGTGCAGGCCAAGGTCTTTAGGCACTGCACCCAGTGTGCCGATCACCACTGGGACCACCCTGACTGGCTTGTGCCAGAGTCTTTGCAGTTAAATCTTTAAATCCTCATATCGTGTCAGCTTTTCCTGTTGTTTCTCTTCAATCATGTTGTCACCTGGGATTGCAACATTGACAATCCATACTTTGTTTTTTAACATGATCGTGAGGTCAGCAGTATTGTGCTCCAAAACTCTGTCTGTCTGAATTCAGAGGTCCCAGAGGTTTGATGTGTCCACTTTCTATAACCTTTTCCAGCTTGTGATCCCACCAGTTCTTGGTCGCAGGCAGATGGTATTTGTGGCACAAGTTCCAATGAATCATCTGAGCAACGGTGTTATGCCTCTGCTTGTAGTCTGTCTGCGCAATCTTCTTGCAGCAGCTGAGGATGTAATGTATTGTTTCATCTGCTTCCTTGCAGAGTCTACATTTGGGATCTGTTGTCGACTTTTCAATTCTGGCTTTGATGGCATTTGTTCTAATGGCTTGTTCTTGGGCTGCCAGATGATGATGATGATGATGATGATGATGATGATGATGATGATGATGATGATGATAATGATTATTATTATTATTATTATTATTATTATTATTATTATTACGATGGGTAAAGTACAACTTCTTTAACACTGAAGAACTGCAGATAACTCCCACCACACCAAACACATATACATATACACCGGTCCTCATTGATAATTTTCTGTTCTAATAAAGATAGGCAGCACATACATTATGCTCTCCTTAAGAATCCACTTGTGGTTCCTCTATTCTTCACAAAACAAGGTTCATTTTGTACTTATCCTAGGTCTTTTCTCATTAAGCTCAGTTCTCTACTTGCGAGGAGGCTAATTTAACTAATTTACAACACCATAAAAATCTCCAGCAAGCGTGCAAATAATGAGGAAGTACTCCATCAGTGTCACAAGTGGACAGTGATGCGACAGCTCCCCTGGTGGCCAGAATGCCCTCATGAAGCTGGAACGTTAAATGGCCTCTGTGTGTCTGTCTATATATGTTGTGTGTCTATGGCATTGAATGTTTGCCATGTATATGTACATTGTAATCCACCCTGAGTCCCCTGTGGGGTGAGAAGGGTGGAATATAAATACTGTAAATAAATAAATAAATATTACAGAGCTTTACCAAGACTTGTTGGAAATAAATCTATTTTTAAAGAAGGAAATAGATTTTCTGACCATTGATGGAAACGACATGTAAATCAGAATACAGATGAATGGAAACGAATCCATCCATTGGGAAATAAACCCAATTAGTGATATCTTATTCCAGTAAGATCAAACTGGAAAGATATTTTTAATATATTTCTTGAAGTATTCTTAAAACTCAGAACACAAGCTTCTTCACAACATCAAGGAACTGAGCTGTATCTAGGACGAATTCAGCTGGTATGTCAAAGCCAACTATGGCAAAAAGCATGAGCTGCTTCAGCCTTACAGCAATAGACCAAAATGGCTCAGAAAGCAGTCTTTTAACTTCTCAAAAGTTATCCTGAAAAAAATACCCTTCATGAAACACAACAAATTTCAACAACACCAGCAACTTATTACAGCCTGGGGGCCTATAGGCCTTGTCAGGGACTACTCCAACTCTAATAAACATAAACAAACTGGAAGCAGACTGACAGTAATATTCATGTTTGACATATACTAGTACAGCTTACATTCATACTCCTGATGCTAACAGCAGTTGCCCATCCATGCAACCATTTCTGGATAGCCTCTGGAAAATGCTGATTCATTTTATGCAAGATCTGTAATTTGAGTTGGATTGTATAACACACAGGCACCACCTAAAATACGAACACGGTGTTCACCAAAAGTATAAAGCCTTCAAAAGGAAGAGGGAGTATGGTTGTTGAAACAGCTGTATATTTAAAGTTCTCTTTATTTTATTTGTTGAAAAATATCCCACTTACTATACCAATATCAGGGAAGATTAGAGAAGAGAAAAGGGAGAGACACTTTGCCTTTTAAAAGGTAGGAACTGGGAAACACTAGAACTGAGAGACTTAAAATGCTTCTTCAAATAAATTCCGCTGCCACCATTCCAATATTAATCAGGCTGAGGTAATATTGGGAGTTTGTTCTGTAACACAGTGTGCCACTATAGTTTCTTAGTGGCTGCTGTGAAGCTGACTTTAGAAATACTTTGACCACAATGGTACACACACTGAGGCTGGTATAAGTTAATAAAAGAACAAGAATGTTTATTGAACAAGCTTGAAATAATCCAGGTACAAATGCTTAGTGGTTTCAGAAAATACTGTCAATAAAAGCTTGTGGTTGTATTAGAGTAAAATCTTAAACTCTTCTGGGTTTTTCAAAGTTCTACCACAGAAAATTACTTCAGGAAATTAATCTCTGAAAGTAACTCCCCAAAATTCCCCTTAGGAATCTAGCCAAAAATACACTATTAGCCGCTCTGAATACCTCACAAAAGACTAACCCAATCTTCTCCTCTAAACCCAAACTCGCATTGAACTAACACCAACTCTTCAACTGCTCTCTAACAACTCCAACTGACAACTGACTAACTGGGACTTCAAGCCTCTGTTTTAAAAGGACACTTTTTTCCTCTAAACCACTTAGGCTCCGCCCCCATCTTTCTAGCCATTCCTTGTTGTTGTTGTTCATTCGTTCAGTCGTCTCCGACTCTTCGTGACCTCATGGACCAGCCTACGCCAGAGCTCCCTGTCGGCCGTTACCACCCCCAGCTCCCTCAAGGTCAGTCCAGTCACTTCAAGGATGCCATCCATCCATCTTGCCCTTGGTCGGCCCCTCTTCCTTTTGCCTTCCACTTTCCCCAGCATCATTGTCTTCTCTAGGCTTTCCTGTCTCCTCATGATGTGGCCAAAGTACTTCAACTTTGTCTCTAGTATCTTTCCCTCCAGTGAGCAGTCGGGCTTTATTTCCTGGAGGATGGACTAGTTGGATCTTCTCGCAGTCCAAGGCACTCTCAGAACTTTCCTCCAACACCACAGCTCAAAAGCATCGATCTTCCTTCGCTCAGCCTTCCCTAAGGTCCAGCTCTCACATCCATAGGTGACTACAGGGAATACCATGGCTTTGACTAGGCGGATCTTTGTTGCCAGTCTGATGTCTCTACTCTTTACTATTTTATCGAGACTGGACATTGCTCTCCTCCCAAGAAGTAAGCGTCTTCTGATTTCCTGGCTACTGTCTGCATCTGCAGTAATATTTGCACCTAGAAATACAAAGTCTGTCACAGCCTCCACGGTTTCTCCCTCTATTTTCCAGTTGTCAATCATTCTTGTTGCCATAATCTTGGTTTTTTTGACGTTTAGCTGCAACCCGGCTTTTGCGCTTTCTTCTTTCACCTTGATTAGAAGGCTCCTCAGCTCCTCCTCGCTTTCGGCCATCAGAGTGGTGTCATCTGCATATCTGAGGTTGTTAATGTTTCTTCCAGCAATTTTCACCCCAGCTTTGCATTCATACAGCCCCGCACATCGCATGATGTGTTCTGCATACAAGTTAAAAAGGTTGGGTGAGAGGATGCAGCCTTGCCGTACGCCTTTCCCAATCTTGAACCAGTCTGTTGTTCCGTGGTCAGTTCTGACTGTTGCTACTTGGTCCTTGTACAGATTCCTCAGGAGAGAGACAAGGTGGCTTGGGATGCCCATCCCACCAAGAACTTGCCACAATTTATTATGATCCACACAGTCAAAGGCTTTAGAATAGTCAATGAAGCAGAAATAGATGTTTTTCTGAAACTCCCTGCCTTTCTCCATTATCCAACGGATATTGGCAATCTGGTCTCTCGTTCCTCTGCCTTTTCTAAACCCAGCTTGAACATCTGGCAACTCTCGCTCCATGTATTGCCATTCCTAGCCATTCCTAGCCTCCTTATTTTCCCTCTAAGACTTGAACACGTCCTCTCAAGGAAAGCCTAACTAAAATGGCTTCCACCCGGCTCCCTCTTCTAAAATGGAAGTCGTGGCTTCGCCAGG